GCGGCGCAGGAAGAGGAACGGCGGCGCATTGCCCGCCGCACAGAAGAGGAGGTGGAGGCGGAGGCGGCCGGGCGCGCCGCAAGCGTCGCGGTAGCACGGGCGCGGCTCGATGAAGCCAGGGCGGTGCTGGCGCGGGCAGCGGCCGCGGCGCGCCAGGTCGAGCTGGAAATCACGTTCGAGCCTGCCGCCTTTGGCCGGGCGGAGGTGCCGCGCGTGCCACGGCACTTCTCCGGTGCGTCGCGGCTCGGGCAGGGCGACGGCAAGGCGTTCATGAACGCGTTCGCAGACCCCGAGCGGGGGCTGCGGTCGCTCATTGTCGCGTGCGAGGGTGACACACGCGTCGCCGAGACACTCTTCCAAGCGCTCTGCGCCCTGGCCGGCACGACACCGCGAACGGCTGATTGATGTACTGACGTAAGGTCGACGGGGAGGAGGAGGCGTATTTGGCTCTGCGCGCCTGTAGTGCTGTCAGTCAGTGTGTACGGCTCTACCCGGAGTACTGACTTCACACAGCACACGAAACGCGTCGTCCGTCGAAACCACACCGGACACCGAGGGAGAGCGAGGTGCCGAGGAGCGAGAGGTCGAGCTCCTCCGTACCAGCTTCGCCTCGCGCCGACGCGCTTGTCGCATGTCGGTTGTCGCTCCTCACGCTTGTGAGAGGCGTGCGTTTTGGCTTTTGCGGTGGTTCCGGTTAATATATGTGTAAAGCCCCGTACATACGGGGTACCGTACCCTTTACATCATCCGATACGCAGTTTGCGGGGGCCCCACAACCGGTCCGTCGATCGCGTGGCGCACACATACAATCACCCTCGCGCGAGACTCCATAAAACCCAACAGTAAATACCGTGTATTTACGACGGTATGCCATGTGCGAGACCGTTCTTGATCTTACGGCGTTCAAAACACTCGGTGTCGAAACACCTCTCTGACGCGCTCGACTTAGTCTTGTACCTTGCGAGCTTTTACATCATGAGGATTCTCTCACCCCGCAGCCGCACTCACCTGAAGGATGGCGCGCTGCAAGTCCTCCTGCAGGTGCGCCGCCTCCTCGAGGCCGACGCTCACGCGCAGCAGCCGCGGCGAGATGGCGTCGTCGTACTTCCGCCGCCACTCGATCAAGCTCTCCACGCCGCCGAGGGACGTCGCGTCGCGGAACAGCCGGAGGGCTGCGGGGAGGCTGCGCGCAGCTTGCTCCGACGCGAGCTCCAGCGCGAAGCAGCCGCCGTAACCGCCGCTCATCTGCCGCCGTGCGACCCCATGCGACGGGTCCGAGGGCAGCGAAGGGTGCGCCACCGAGTGCACGAGCCCTACGGCAAGGTCAGGTCGGGTCAGGTCAGGCATCTCTTCACACTAGGTCGACCCTCGCGACTCCACGTCGAACGACAGGAGCCCCCCGCAGCAGTAACAGTGCGAGGCCCAGTGCGCGTGGGTGGGCGGGCCTGCCAGCGGGTGGCCCGCCTCCCTCCGCACGGCGCGATCCAGCCAGTGGGCAAGCTCCGCCGCTGTCGCCGACTGGCGCTCAACGCGCAGGTGGAGGGTGCGGAGCGATCGCATCAGGAGCCAGACCTCCAGTGCACCCGGCGTCGACCCGACCGCCGAGCGGTCTGCGCGCAGCTCCGAGGCCAGCGCGGCGTCGCGGACGCACAGCGCGCCACCGATCGCGTCAGAATGCCCCGCAAGGTACTTGGTCGTCGAGTGCATGACAATGTCTGCGCCAAGCGTCAGCGCGCGCTGGAGGGGTGGCGGCGCGAACGTGGAGTCGACGACCACCCGCACGCCACCCAATTCCCGCGCAGCGTCGGCGTAAGCAGCCACGTCGGCCACGTGGCAGTCCGGGTTGCGCGGCGTTTCGAGCCACACCACGTCGCCCTCGCGCAGGACGGCCGCCGCGTCCTCCGGTGTCGGCAGCGGGATCGGGTTGCAGTTTGCTCCGCCCGAGATACGCTGGAGCTGCTCAAGGACTTGGTGCGTGCCGTGGTAGCCTCCCGAGATGGCGACGCGGCTCGGCAGCAGCCGTGAGAGCGCTCCGAACGTGGCCGCCAAGCCGGAGGCATACAGCACCGCTCTCGCCGGCGAACTTGGCGTGCCCTCGATGGCGCCGAGCAAAGTCTCGCATCGTTCCCTGGTTGGGTTTGAGATGCGACTGTAGACGTGCCCGTCGGATCCGGGCTCAGGGCAGGTGAAGGTCGTGCTCAGAGACAGCGGCGGCGACACGTCGTGTGCCGTCGCCATCCTTCCTCCGCCGTGGTCTTCGAGTGCATCAGCGTGGACGGCGGCTGTACTGGAGCCGCGAAGGATCGCCGCAGATCCTGCATCCGATGATCCTGCATCCGAGGAAAACACAGCGCGCCGCGCGATGAGCAGGAGCGGCCGCTGCGCAGCGGCTCGTCGAAGCATGGCTTCCTCCTCACCACGCCCCGGCCTCGCCTACTGTGCTGCATGAATGGTTGGGCAAGTGTGAACACCACCTCGTGCCACGGCGCCGCAGGCGCCTGTTGATGGGTCCAGGTGATAGCCCTGGATGGGCAATGCATACGCCTAGTTGGACCTCAGATCGCCCGACCGCGTCCCGGTGCTCTGTGGTCGGATTTGTGACGCCGCCGCACCGCGCCGCGGCCGGGGGCCCTCCGGAGGACGAGGATGGCCGTGACGGACCGGGACGAGCTCTGGGAGGTTCAGTGTCAGTGAGTATATTGTAAAGACAGACCATATGCACAATATCTCTCAGTCTAGCTAAGCCTGGGAAGGCGATGCCGGGGCCGTACAACAGCTTGATGGTGCTTCGCCGGCGTGCGTCCCGGAGCGGTCCCGGACGGGCGGTCCGTGGGACAAAATCGGGGGACAACGCCGACGGCGCTCTGATTCGACTTTTTACTTCAAACAAAGACAGTGGCACGCGCCGCGGCGCGGTGCATGCCACTGTCAGGAGCGGATCGTGTCCCCCACAACTTGCCCAACCATTCAGGGCGACGAGTAGAGTTGGAAGGAGATGGGAAGATGGAACAGCCCGAGGGAGGAGCGAACGAAAATACGTATGGGAGGTTGAAGTCATGCACCACGCTGCCCGGCGTTTCTCATATTTCCCCAAAAAGCTAGGCCCACAACGACGGTGTGTGTGTTGCCGCGGCGATGCCTCCGTCCGGCTGCTGTAGCGGGTGGCTTGCTGCTCGCTGCGATGGCGAAAAACTCGTCTCGTCGCACACCAAGAGCTTATGCTCTGGCGAGATGTGAGGCGCATGCGCCCAGGAGGGGAGGGCGCATGCGTAACGACGCTGCTAGAGATGCCTTTCGGGGCCCAAAGATAAAACTTCTGATGCCATGCGTGACCTAGTAGTGTCCCCAGCTATGGGCGTGTCCACGTTGGAGCCAGGTGTTGTGTGGGCGCGAGAATAGCTCCGACGTTCATTGAGGCTACCGATGCGAGTCGACCTGTTAAAATTGTCGTCGTGGTTTCGTATCAAGAATACTCACTCACGGCCCACAACGCCCCTATGTTGGGTCAAGGGCGCCTAGAAGAAGGCGCCGCCCCCCGAAGAGGAATCCCACCCGTGCGTACCCCGAGCCCCCGTCGAAGAGCGCGTCGAAAGCGTCGTCGCCTTCGTCGTACTCATCCGCGCACGCAGTGGACGAACCTCTTCCCAAGAGAGCGCCACGGTCTTGGAAGCGCCGGCGCCACCACCACCCAGAGCGCTGCAAGCAGCGCCGAATGATGTGGTGTACTCGAGGAAGGTGTGTCCAGACATGGAGACCGGTCGCAACTTGATCAAACCCTCAATGGAGGCCGGCACTGGCTCGTCCGTTTTGACCACCTCGTAAGCAACCGTGTGCGCTCGCTCAGAGATCTCGGTGATGCGCAGCTCCCAAACGGACTCGCCTAGTCAGTCCCAACTGTCGTGAAAGCCAATCCTCAGCGCGACAGGTCTCGCGAGGCCAAAGCGCACACCGTACGCGCTGTCTCCATTGTCAAAAGAGACGACCACGATGGCCCCGATCTGGCCCTCCTCGCCACTTTTGAACCAGGGCATACTGGCCACCTTCTTCGTCACCGAGAGTATCTGGCCGAGCGCGCGCGCGCGACGTGGGGACCGTCTATTAGGCGGGCAGTTTGCACGACGTGCGCGTGGGGTCTATGTAGTTACCGAAAGATCTTTCGTCATGGCAAACACTTTCTCGATCGGCATCGGGAGCACGCAGCTCTGGGTGTCAAACGTAACCACCGGGGGCGACATACTGGCTTCTTCGCGTTCGTCGCCGATGTGTCGGTGATGGCGACTTTTTTTGACGACGCGGGCGTCGGTCTCACGGGCCGCTCGTGTGGATGCGAGAATAGCTCCGCCGTTCATGGAGGCAACCGATGCGAGTCGACTGGTGTGTGTCGTCGTGGTTTCGTATCAAGAGTACTCACTCACACACACAAGCTCATCGGCTGCGTCGAACAGGCCACATCTGCGCGATGGCCATCTGCATGCACCTCGATCCTGTGCCGTGTTTGTTCTGACCCAACCAACCAAGGAACACACACACACACACCAGTGAGGGAGGGCGAGACGATCGATGGGTCCCGTACCATGCGGAGACGCAGGAAACCAGGCAGGGTGCGAGAGGAAACTCTCGTACGGCCTTCGCGGCACCGACGGGCATGGAGCCGCAGCTCGGTCGGTCGGGGTTGATGAGATCCGCAGCCGCAGTGCGACAGCGGGCAATTTTGGTATTCAAACTCTCTCTCTCTCTTATATTTTAGACGCTGACATTCTCGAGCAGGCACCATCTTCTTCTCTGGACTCTGCACGTCGGTGTGACGAGAGAGGGGCTTGTTTTCTAAAAAAAGCCTGGGGGGGCGGCGGGCGGGCGGGCGCGCGGTGCGGAACGGCGTGTGCGTGTGTGTGACTGCGACAAGGGACCATTGGGTTTGTATTATTAACGAAGGCGCTCTCAAAAAAAAAGTGGGCTGCGGCGCCTCGCAGTCTCTTCGCTGGCGTTCTGCTCAAACTGGTATGGGCGGCGTAAAGCCAGTGGTGAACCTCACGGTCTGTTCTGCGGGCGGCGCCGGGCGCGGGTCGACATGGTCGCCGTGGATGTCGCTTTCCTCAGTCGCGTTCGAGAAGCAGGATCCCGATCGCTGGTTCGCGGAGCTCGAGCTGTCGGGCGTGCCCGGGGCGCCCTTTCACGGCGCGCCCATGATCCCGGTGACGCACCAGAGCGCAATCTTCGGGCACTCCTCCGTCAAGCAAAACGCCCACAACCGGGAGCGCGGGGTTTGGTTCTACTATGCGCGGGGCTGCAGGCGCGCCCACACACGCTTGTTTGGCGGCCCTCGCACGGACACTTTCCAGACGCCTCCAATCGAGGAACGATCTGGCCGTACGTGGCTCCGCACTGCCCTCTGAGTCCGCCCCACGCGATGCCCCGCAGCGACCTGTGGTACGACCCAGGCACGACGCTCGTAGCCCTCAACAAGGTGGACGCGGCCCTCAAGCTCGCCGCGCTCTCTTCGCATCGGGGCTCTCACAGCAGACTGAAGGTTCACGGGGCCGACTACAGTGTACAGCGGGGAGGAGTGGATGCTACCGGCCGCCAGCGGCGAGCCGTGGCCGAGCTTGCGAGCTGGGTGTGGAACCGGTGCCTGCGGCGCAGCGCGATGGCGCGCGAGCGCTACAGGAGCGCGCTCAACACGTCGAACCGCGCCCTGTCGGAGCTGCTCTCGAGGGCGGCCGCCGGCCCTTTCCCGCTCGACCGGGAGACAGGGCGGACTGCCCGATCTCCCGCCTTCCAGTACGCGCACGCCCTCGGCAGGGGAGCGTGTGTGGGCGAGTGCGCGCGGCAGGAGGTTGCGGCCTGCCTGTGGCTCTTCGAGTTCCTCGACCCGTTTCTGATCGCGCGTGGCCGCGCGCTCGGACTGCGCTCTCTTCAGCTGCTGCAGTCGCCGCACGCGGGGTATCTGTTCTTCCGGGAGCCCCATAGGCACGCCCCGCACCGTGTAGCATTCACCCCGGGTAGCCAGCTCTCGACCCCCGCCGTGTTTCGATATGGTCGGTCGGTAGTAACGGAGAGTCCGCCTCCGCCACACCACAGGTGGGCCGTCGAGATCCTCGACCTCGCTTCTGCCGACCGGCTCGCCACCGAGGCCGAGCGCGAGCCCGGCGCGCTCTTGGAGCGGCTGCGTGGTGCGGACGGGGAGGTGTGTGAGCCGGCTTGCTTCTTCGCCTGCTGCGCGGCGTGCCTCAATTCGCCGCTCACGCTGCGGCTCTGCTTGGAGCAGCGTGGCCAGCGGCCCACGCCAGCCCGAGGGCACCGCCCCCCCACCTTCTTCCCCAAGGTGGCTATGTGCGGTGGAGGCTGCGAGCGTGGCCATGCGGACACTCCGCCGCCGCTGCTCGCGGCAGTGGAGTACGTACGTGCGCGGCGGAATGCATCTGGAGAACGTGGTCGAGTCCTATCCTCAGTAGATGCTCACTCCTCAGGAGATCGGGCGGTAGTTCCTCATTGACTATATCTACTTAGTGTGTCGTGGTCTTAGTCAATCTTTTCTACTTCCCCATGGGTGCGCGCTTCATAGCTCCCCGGCGCCCGGTGTGGAGGAAGAGAGGCCACCTACACGTACCGCGAGATCCGAGTCGGCGAGTCCGAGTGGGAGTGCACACTCCAGATACCAGAAGTGTGCTCAAGACCAAGTACTCTCTCTTACTCTTTGGAGAGAGATCAGAGAGGCCCGAGAGCGATGTGTACTGTGTGTCCGGAGAGTCCCAGTCCGCCTTGTGCGTTGTGGCCCTTGGCTAGTTCCAATTCACTCTGACACGCTAATCTTGAAAACGTCCAACGGAGCTCCGTGTTGCTCCCAGCGCCCTCCCCCGCGCTCCCTGCGGCCATGGCCGATGATGCTAGTATGAGAGGTCATCTGGCTACCGCGATAGCGACCCAACTCTTCGACATCGTCCGATGATGGTGCCGCAAAGTCAGCCTTCGGAGGCTATCGTGGGGTCGAGCCGGCAGTAGCCGTGACATGTGGTTCCACCACCCCTCGTAGGCTTTGCCTCTGACCGCCACCGTTCCCAGGCTGCCTAATGGGATGGTAAGGAAGGCTGGGCGAGCGTATAGAAGCGTGCTCGACCTCGTCGTGGCAACCTGTCCGGCAGCGCTGGTACTGTAGGCGCGATGAATGAGCGTCGTGCCACCTGACCCGAGACGGGTCGCAGGCGTCGTACCGAGCGCGTCAAGTCCGTGTACTGATGTGCTCTGCACGGGCAAGTCACGTCGGAAACGAGCGACGTGCGACTTGTCAGAGCTTGATCTCCGATCTCAGCGGCGTCGAGTCGTCGCTCCGGCGGCGACAATTTGGTACATCTCCAGGACGCGCAGAGGCAGCTGCGACCCCGGTCCCCGCCGAGTGGACGGCGGTACTCCGCGCCACCTGCCGAGTACCGCCGTCCACTCGGCGGGGTCGCAGCTGCCTCTGGAAGGCACCGAGAGGGACAATAGTGCGCAAATGGTCAAAATCAAGGTTTTGTAACGCGAGCTGTGCCACAGTGAAATGGCACTAGCCGAGAGAGGTACCAAAATGGCGCAAATCGGACCAAATCCAAAATCAAGTTCAAGATTGTGTAATGGTTTAAGTAACGCGGGCTGTGTGCCACTGAAACGGAACCCTAGCCCTTGCGTGCGTGTTTGGCGGTTTGTTCAATAAAGCCGTGACCAGCACGGAGCTAGCTCAGAAAAAAACGACGCAACAGAAAGCCGAGCAGCTGCAAGCGGCGTTCTGCCCCCCTCAGCTAGTATCAGGGATCAGCTTGTTGCTGGCGATCGCGACCGACGCTGCGGCGGCGGGCCGGCGTAGTAGGGGAAACGGCTCGAGCGCCCGCTTCCCACGTTCCACAAGGGCCCGCCGCGCAGCGTTTCGGCGGTGAAGGTCGGCAGCCCGCGCGGCTCGCGCTGGTCGTTGGTCGTGCCCGCGAGCGACGGCCACACGTCTAGGTGCGGCGCGCAGCTGTCGACCGACTCGTACGGGACGACTTCCCCCTGCAGCGCGACGGCACCGTTCCACGCCATCGTGTGGAATGACGAGCACATCGAGCCGACGAACACGGAACCACGCGCGAGCACGCGCAAGTCGTCGAGCGCCGAGACGACCACTGACGCGTCGAGGTCGTCGCGGAACTCGATCCACCGCCTCTTGCGATCGGCGAGAGTCAAGTGGCCACCACCCCGGCCGTGCAGCTCATGAGCGGCCACCGCAAGCTTCGATCGGTTCCACGGCCGCTGGTGCACGGGCGCGCCGAGGGCGGCCGCCTCGCGCGCGAACATGCGCGCCGCCTCGGCGGAGTCCGTCGCGAGCTCGATCGAACCAACGGGCCTGTGCAGGCGCGCCAGGCGGCGGAGGAGCAGCCGGAGCGCCTCAAGGTAGACGACGGGATGCGCGCAGTGGCGCTTCTGCTGGCTCCACCGCGTGCGCAGTCGCGGGTCCCACACGCCCTGGAAGAGGTTCGGACTGAGCCGCCCCATTTCGACCACATCACACGCGTCGCCGCCGCGCACCGCCACCGAGACGTTGACCGCGCCGGCCGTCGACGCCGCCGGCTCCATCCCCGCGAAGAGTTTCGCCGGCAGCGCGCCCGGTGGCCAGGGCGCTGGTCCAGGCTCGAGGAGGGGAGAGCGCCGGTCGCCGCGCAAGAGGATGTTACGAAGAACGACGAGCGCCACGAGCGTCTTGTTGCGGCTCGCAAGGTGTCCGCCACGCGCAGCAAGCGAGGCCGGGCACGCCGCGGTGTGCGCGGTGTCGGGCGTCCCATACATACACTCCCACGCGTCGATATCGTCGCACCCGAGCCAGCGCGCCCACTTGTCGTCACGGCCGCGGTGCGACCTGAGGCGCCACGACGGATGAGGGAGCTGCGCGATCGCCATCGTCATCTGTAGCAGCCCTTTTCCGAGCGCCGCGTCCACACAGCGCAGGTCGCGCGCACACATGAATCGCGTCGCGTCCAAGACCGGCATGGTGGCGCGGGCGAGGTGGCACTCCACAGCGGCCAGCTCGGAGCGAAGCTCCATTTCACTTGTGGGACGGCGTCTCTCTCTCGAGGTTCTCGAGGTGGATATCCTTTGGCCGCGTTGGGTAGCGAGGATTGGTGTAACCCGAGCCACGGAGGCGTGTTTTCTGACGGCCGACCGTCAGTGCACGGAGCCCCTTCTCCGACTTGTGGGGGACGGCGTCTACAAAAAAAAGAAATAGACGGGGCTAAGCGGAGTTTTTGACCCCGCTCTCACACGCCACTGAGATGCCTGCTCTATTTATTTATTTCTTTAGGCAAAGAATTTGACTCGCGCTTATTCAGGCATATGTCCGTTTAGTTGACCCCGTCCTACAACCGCCTAGATAATGTCTTGTGTGCTGTGAGATGTGGTGCACGTCCTGCGAGAGCGGGGCGGGGTGCGCGCTGTGCCTCGGGGTTCGTGCGTCGCCCATCTCTCCGGGGGATGTCTGCCCTATTTATTTATTTAGTCGAGCCTGTCTGCGGTGAGAGCGAGTTGCCGTTTAAATTCTTTCTGTCGTGACTCGTGAGAGGAAAAGAAAAGAAAGAAAACATAGCGCGGAAGGGAGGGATGGGAGGACGGCACGCCGCCACCACACAGGGATTTTAAGGAGAGGAGTGTGGTGCTAGCCGTCGCCCACCCTTGGGCGTCTGCCTCTTCCTATCTCTCTTCGCAGTCCCTTGTCGAGTGTCGTGCGAGAGAGTTTTGCCGTAAATTCTCGCAGCAACCTTCATACCACCTCGCGGTCTTCCCACTCTCGTCGTTCTCTCTCCTGCCGCTTCATTCTCTGACTCATCGCTCTTGCGAGAGAAGAAAGAAAGAAAACAGACGCGACTTAGCTCCCCGGTCCTGGGCGTGCGGTTAATGACTGCACTCCAAGTGCTCACCTAGAGGAAATCTTCTGTATATCGTGAATGATCGCCGAGTATCGCCTAATATCGCCTAATATCGCCTAACAATATCGCGCACCCTCGCCCCGGTCCTCGGGATTTCTTTGTTTTCCGCCACCGCTTCTTCTTCTGCTTGAGCACTTGAGCACTTGATAGGGTCGATTCCGCATGGTACGGGACCCCTCGATCGTCTCGCCCTCCCTCACTGGTGTGTCATTGGGGGGGGGTCATAACAAACACCACGGTCAGGATCGATGTGCACGCTGCCAAAGCAGTGTCGTCCCCCCTCTCCCCGATTGCTGTGGTCGCTGCTGTCGCTGCTCATGTGCAAGCCGCGAGGTGTGTGTAGCCAGCCAGATCCAGCTGCGCAACGCGAGCCGCGGAGCGAGCGGAGAATATCGCGCTTTCCGTCGCAAGCTCCTCCAAAGTCGGGGAGGAGACCATATTTGAACAGCACCCCTCGAATTAACTCCACTTTTTGAGGGCATGCCGGTATCTCGTGACGTGGGGCACCACGGCCCGCCCCCAGACTGTAGGGTAGCCCGGACACTGGGGCCCTTGGGACCGGCGTAATAAGTGACGTGGAGGAACGCGTGTTACATGTACTAGTCAGAACGGACCCCAGTTGCCGATCCTGCCAACTCAGATCGGATGCTTAATGTGGTCGATTTCGAGCCCGCCGCCGGTGCCACGGCCATCGCCCGTGCCGCGGCCCCCGCCGCCGCTCTTGCCACCCTTGCCGCGGCCTGCACCCTTGCCGCGGCCTGCTCTCGCGTCCTGCGCTCGTGGCATGCTTGTCCTTAGGTGGAACGCACGTTACATGTTTGAACGGCCTCCGGGATTCAAACAAAAAATAGCCAAAGCCCTCTCGCAACCCCTCCGACCCCCTGGGACCCGTGGGCGTCGAAGAGGCGCGCTCGGGGGGCCGTTCTGAGTTACCTCGAAGCACACTGTGCTGCGTCAAAGCACCGGGCCCGAGTCCGCCAGGCGAGGGCTGCCATCCGGGTATGCCGCTCGGTTTGCTGTGCTCTCCTCGCCGTGTAATAAAATTGGCGGACGAGTGCCGCCCTAGCGTGCTTGAAGATGGAGTCGACTCGGGCGTCCGGCGTCGCGTCGTGTGCAGGTTCGCGTTGTAGAATTTAAACAAAAGAACTCTCTCACACAGCCGACAGGCTCGACACAGGTGCGAACTGGCGCGTGCTAGTACTATCACCGGCACACCACCGGAGCCGCCTAAGCGACTCCGTTAAGAGCGGCGATGCACTTAGCACCGTGCACAATGCCGCTGTCCCCGCAGGCCCGAACAAACCGCTGGGGGATGTTGTCGAGGGGCTCCCACGTCCAACCATCGACATCGTAGTCTTCCCAAGCGGTCAGAAGCTCGATCCCCCCAGCTCTCTGCCGCCACGCGATGACCTTCTGGACGTTGTAGCTGTCTGGCAGCAAAAGCCGTTTTCGGCCCCGCCCGGACCTGCGGCGGTTTTGGTTGGATTCCGTGAGATACCGATTTTTCTGTCACTAAATAATTGGCGTAGTGCTTGCCATGAGGGTGCTGAGGGTTGGGGGGGGGGCGGTATGCGCCACATAAATCGGGAAGTACCATCCTGTGCGCCGCAAAGGCCGATCGCGCCCGACGGTGGGGCGGCTCACCGCACACGCATAGTTGCGAGGCCGAGCCCGCCGGGCGCGTAGAGCCGAGTGGCCGGGGGGGAGGCGGACCAGGGAAACCGCGCGCGGGAGTACGAGGTGACATGTGGCGCGGGCACGGCGGGGGAGACGGGGCGGTGCTAGGGGCGCGGAGCGCACATTGTAGCGCAGAAAAGGGCCTTATGAGTGGGGTAAACGGACCAAAGCCCAGCCGCACCGTGAAGGGACCCCGTTGTCCGTTTGACATCAGACTTTTTTTGAGTTGGAGGTAATAATTAAAAGGATTGCACTGTCCCAAAGAACTGATTCATTCATTTCACCCTCACATAGTAACAATACCTCAAAGTTGAAAACCTCCAAAATAGGCCGTCAGGACTCTGTCAGGACTCCGTCAGGACTCTGTCAGGACTCTGTCAGGACTCCGCCAGGACTCCGCCAGGACAACCACTGCCCCCCCGCTGTGAACAGAGCCCTTAGCTAGAGAGTAGGGAGGGGTGTACAGTCGAGTTACTCCCGAGGGCAGGGACGGCCCTCCACTGAGGGAAAGGGCGCAACGGGGACGGCATGCTCACAACCCAGCCACGCAGCTCTTTGCTCGCGTACAGCCAACGAGTTTGCTGGTCCACAGGCAGGCCAGGCCGTGAGCGTGGGCCGGTCGGGCCTGATCCTGCGGTGAGCACTGGAGGGCTATGCGGCTCGCTCCGTCAGCCGACTTGCGCCGTCGAGCGGTCGAGCGCTTCGGGTTGGACCCGCGGGAGGGTCCCTGCGCGGCTGACATGGCCAGCCAAGCCGTGTGCGCTGCCGTGGGCGCTGTCGTGGGTGCTGCCGTGGGTGCTGCCGTGGGCGCTGCTGTGGGCGCTGCCGTGGGCGCTGCCTCGGTCAGCAGTCGGTCAGCAGTCGGTCAGCAGTCGGTCCGCTGCTCGGCGCTGGCCTGCAGGCCGCCGGTGGCAAATCGGGGGGGCGCGGGCCATGGACGTCGTGGCCGAGCTTTGCTGCCTTCTTGCACGTTGCCGGCTGTAACGTTGCCTGCACCATGGCCGCGCCTCTCTTGCTTGTGCGCTTTCATGGTCGAGCCGAGTGGCGCGAGAGTGAGCGTGATTTCTTTTGTCTGTCAGGACTCTAAGTTTCTGTCAGGACTCTAAGTTTCTGTCAGGACTCTCAAGTTTCTGTCAGGACTCTCAAGTTTGCTTGTCAGGACTCTCAAGTTTGCTTGTCAGGACTCTCAAGTTTGCGTCAGGACTGCCCCATCAGGACGATTCCGCAGAGGGCGCGCACGGTCGAAAGGGGGGCTGGGCGTCTATCATTCACTGCTGGGGGGGAGGGGAAGGAGGGTTGCAGTGAAGGAAGGTGGAGGTCTCGTCGGAGGCACTTGTGAGCACTGTGAAGACCGTGCGCCGTCAGGACCCCGCCAGGACTCTGTCAGGACTCTGTCAGGACTCTGTCAGGACTCTGTCAGGACTCTGTCAGGACTGTCAGGACAGGTGCGGGAGGTCCACAAACCAGGTTTTTTGGGTGGCGATGCTTTGTGGGCGGACAGAGGGTGGATGCAATTCGGGATGCGGAAGTGCAAAAGCACATGGTGAGCGGGTTGGACGGACGCTATATGAGTGGAGAGGGGACTGGAAGGGTGGAGAAATGGCTGTGTCAGAGCGAGGAACGGGAGGAGAAGGCGATTCAGTGGTCGTTGGAGGAGAGCAATCGGCGGGTGAGAGAGGAGAGGAGGCGAGCGGAGGCGGATCAGAGCGAAGAAATACAGATTTCGGAATCAGACTCGAGCGGATGCGAGGAGGAGGTGGAGACGTGGAAGCGTTATGGACGACGGAAGGGGCAGAAGAAGGCGCGGGTGGATAGAGCAGCAATGATTTCAGATTCAGGATGGGGTCAAGGCAGTCAATCAGTCGATCAGTACATGAGTCAGTCAGTGGACCAGGCAGTCAGTGGTGAGCAGAGAGGAGAAGTTCAGATGGAAGTGGAGAGCGAAGGCGATAGCGGGGCAGCGGGGAGCAGCGGGCAGAGTGGGATCGATAGAGGGGAGTCGAGAGGAGACATGGTGGGAGGAGGGAGCTATGCTGAGGAGGACGACGAGCTTATGCTGGAGTACATGGGGAACGAGGGCGTGGGCAGCGAGGAGATCGACAAGTTCATGGGGTGGACGACAGTGGATATGGGAGACGAGAGGTTGGGACGAGCTCGGAGGGCGGGGCCAAGCGTGGACAGACGAACTGGGATAGAGGAGCGTGGACGTGTTGGAGGCGGGATGCGAGGGAGACATCAAGGGAGACGTGACAAATACGCTGAGGCGAGAGATCGAGGCAGAGGCAACGAGCGACAATGATGTGGTGGAGGTGGAGGATGGGACTGGGGATGGTAAGGAGGAGGCTGGTGCGGAACGTGATGGAGTACGAGAACGGGGGGGGAGGGGGTTCAACTTGGCGACGGCGGACTGTGGGCTGTCGCGGGGACCAGTCCGCCCGGAGGGCGCGCTGGGCAGATCCGGATGGTCTTCACACCGGTGGGAGGCACCGAGGCGTCGAGGGGACGCTCTTCTGTTCAGTGGACGCTCGTCGTCCACTGAGGACTCAGTGGTTGTGACCACTTGTATGCTTTTAATATTAACCTTGCGAACTCGTCCCCCCCGGCAGGGCTATGCAACTGTGACCAGTGTGTGCTGTCTACGCCTGAACCAGGTGTCAAATCTGCCGATGCGTGACCTGTGCGTGGGCTGCTCTGTGAGGGGTCCAGGTGTAGTCCGACGGGTAGGGGGCCTGTGCCCGGGCGGTGTCCGGTGCAGAGTCCCTCGCTGATCCCGCCTGGGATGTTGGGTACGAGGTCGTGGAAGCTTCGATCCCAAGGGGGGGAGCTGATCCCACTCGATAACCAACTCTCAGGGGCAGTAGGTGGGCGAGCTTCAAGCGCGCTCATCTCGATCGTCAAGGCGTCGCTACGCGCGGTCTTCCGTGGGGGGAGCGTCGTCGACGGGTGCGGGACCGCGGCACAGACAGTGCTGTGGCGATGCCTCCGGCTGCTGCGGTGAGTGGCTTGCTGCTCGCTGCGATGGCGAAGAACTCGTCTCGTCACACGCCAAGGGCTTATGCTCTGTCGAGACGTGAGGCGTATGGGCCCAGGAGGGGAGGGCGCATGCGTAACGACGCTGCTAGAGATGCCTTTCGGGGCCCAGAGATAAAACTTCTGATGCCATGCGTGACCTTGTAGTGTCCCCAGCTATGGGCGTGTCCACGTTGGAGCCAGGTGTGGTGTGGACGCGAGAATAGCTCCGCCGTTCATGGAGGCAACCGATGCGAGTCGACTGGTGTGTGTCGTCGTGGTTTCGTATCAAGAATTCTCTCTCTCTCTCCCGACGGCGACGATGGCACCCTCAGCTCGGTGGAGCGGTACGATTCGACAACCAACGTGTGGGAGGCGGTGGTGGCGCCGATGGCGTCGGCGCGGATGGATGGGTTCGCTGCCTCCTTGATGTAGTCCTTGTCACACACACACACACACACACACAGATTGTGTGTTCTCGTGCGAAAAGAAACTGGTCCGGATGAGCGTAGAAAAGGGCGGGGACCTGTTCCTTTTTACCCATCTCGTAGTAGTTTTATTTTTTGAAGAAAAAGAAACCGCGCGGCCCTAGACATGGCCTCCCACCGCATCGGCGCGCGCGTCGCGGGCCTCTCGCCAGCGCAGCTGTGCGCCATCATCGAGGCGCAGGCGGGCGCGAGCGACGCCGCGCTGCGCGTGGCGGAGGAGCACGCTGCACGGCTCGTGGAGCAGCCCGAGTGGGTGCTCTCCGAGGTCCTCCTCTCGCCGGACCTCGCCCCGCACATCCTCGCCCAGCTGCCGACCACGGAGCACGCCATCAAGGGGACGTGCCGCGCGTGGCGCCGCGGCTGGAAGGAGACGCTGCCGAAGCGCGAGAGGCCGCGCATGCTAGTGGTCGGCGGCCAAGGCAACGGTGGCGCTTTTGTCAGCTCGCTGGATCGGTACGACCCGTCAACGAATGAGTGGGAGGGGGAGGCGGTGGCACCGATGCTTTCGGCACGCACGTATGTCGGCGCGGCGGTGCTCGATGGCAAGCTCTACGCGGCGGGCGGCCAGGATGATGAGGACGACCGCGCAACTTCCAATCTGGTGGAGCGGTACGACTTTGCTACGAAAGCGTGGGAGGCGGTGGCGCCGATGGGGACGCCACACGAGGGTCACGCCATGGCGGTGCTCGACGGCAAGCTGTACGCTGTCGGAGGCTACAACGGCGACGACAGCTACCTCAGCTCGGTGGAGCGGTACGACCCGGCGTTGAACGCGTGGGAGGCGGTGGCGCCGATGGCGACACCACGCGAGAATCACGCCGTCGCGGTGCTTGACGGAAAGCTATACGTTGTGGGCGGCGGCAATGAAGATGACGGCCTCCTCAGCTCGGTCGAGCGGTACGATCCGGCGACGAATGCGTGGGAGGCGGTGGCGCCGATGGGGGAGGAGCGGAGCAGGCCCGGCACGGCGGTGCTCGACGGCAAGCTCTATGCTGTGGGAGGCTACAACGCCGACGACGACATCGTCGCCCTCAGCTCAGTCGAGCGGTACGACGCGGCGACAGACGCGTGGGAGGCGGTGGTGCCGATGGCAGAGGCGCGGAACTATCACGCCGTGGCGGTGCTCGATGGCAAGCTGTACGCGGTGGGCGGACTGGATGCCGGCCTCCTCAGCTCAGTGGAGCGGTACGACCCGGCGCTGAATGCGTGGGAGGCGGTGGCTCCGCTGGCGGCGGTGCGGGCGAATGGCTTCGCTGCCTTGATGTAGTTACGCCCTGGTTACGCCGTTGCAAGAGGAGGTGCGAGGGTGGGCTTTGTGGTTGAGCTCAAGGAAGTGTTTGATAGAAAACAGACAACTCACGGGAAAAAAAGAACACGGACAACCCAAGGGAGGGATGAGAGAAAAAAACTCCCACCAAAACGGCCGGTCGGCTGCAGCTCTCGCCTCGCTGGCGGCGCGGTCTGGTGCCGCGGCGCCCAGCTCTCCTGTGGGCTCGCGGCGGCTCGCCGCCGCGGTGCCGAACAATGTGATCAGTCCGGATTCGTCCCGGCGTGCCGCCGGTGCCGCTTCCTCGCTGATTTTTGGCTCGACCAGTTTGTCGACAAAGTTGCCTCCGAGCTCCTGCTGCTCGACTACGCGGCGGAACCGGCCCATCGCGGCTGAGACGTGATGCGCCGGCACCGGGGCAACGGCGCGGGACCATTTCCAGGCTCT